GAAACTAATAAAAATAAAATAACAATGTTAATAATGATATTATTAATATTAATAATATTATTAATAATAAATTAATAAGTAATTAAGGAGGAAGGGGAAAGGGAAGAGGGAGAGTTTTGGGAGGAGGGAGGAAAATTAAGGAGCAGGAAAAAAAGGATGGAGCAAAAGGAAGCAGAAAGGGGTGTCAGAGAGAGGTGGATTTGGCCAGAAAACAGTGAGAAAATAAGAAAAAAAAAGGAGGTGGGTGAAGGTTCTCCCAGTTCTCCCAGGTCTGGGTGCTCTTACCTGCTTGCTGGTCGTACTGGGAATACTGGACTGGCTCTGGGTAGGTGATGCCTTCAAACCTGCTGTACTGACCCTGGACCAGGAGCACTGCTGGGGACACGGGGTGGGGAAGCACCAGGGCCGCCCTGGGACTGGGGTCCCTGCTGTGGCCCCCAAAACGTGGTCCCTAAAGACCCCCCAGCACCAACCCGCCATTCCCACGGGATCCAGGGCTGGTCCTGGGTGATCCCGAGGGTTGGGGGGTACCAGGATCCCGGGGGGGGGGAGGGGCTGGTGAGCCCCCCTGTGGGGCTGGTGACACCCCGAGAAGGGGGGGTGGGAACCAGGGGGTCCCCTCCTGCAGGGTCCTGGGGGGCTCATCCTGCTGCAGATCCAGGGGGAAAACGGGATTAACCCACGTGAGCTGAAGGGATTGGGCAGGAGGGGGGGGGTCAGGCAGGAATGGGGGGATCAGGTCACCCCCATTCCCGGGACACGGCAGGGACACCCCGGGATGCTCCGTCCCTGCACACCCCTCGCAGGAAGCAGCATCCTCCGGGAATGAGGCCGGGATGGGACGGATCCTTCCTGCCCTCTGCCCCCCCCCGGTGCCCCCTCCCCTTCCCTGGCTCCTTCCTCTTCTCCTTAATCTTTCCCAGCTGTTCCCTGACCCTTCGTGCCTGGATTGGCCCAAAGTTTTCCTGCCTCCGGGGCTCCCGTCCTCTCTTTCCTCCTTTCCATCCCCCTTTTCCCAACCTCCCCCCCACCCAGGGGGGAAAATCCTTCTGGATTTCATCCCCATTCTGTGCCACCTCCATGTGCCCAAGGCAGGAGGGACCCACTTGGTG